CTAAAGGTACATGCCACCATGCCTGGCTAACTTTTTGTATTTTTCTGTAGAGATGGGGTTTTGGCATGTTGCCAGGCTGGGCTCAAGCAATCCTCCCACCTTGACCTCCCAAAGTACTGGGATTACAGGTGTGAGGCACCATGGCCCACCCCCATCCTCTTCTCAAACAGAGGAACTTAGAACACCTCAGTTCCACTCACAGGCACCATCTTGACTTTATGCCATTGCAGGTACATATATTGATTGCATCCTTGTTTTTCTGTGCATGAGTGACATCCAGTGACTGTCAGTTTCAGTTTACTCACGCACTTCCTGCTTCCTCTCATGCTTTATCCATTTCAGACATTCTGTGATCACTTTGATGCTTTGAGATCATTTCTTCAGAACTGAGGTGAGAGTGTGCCGGGGGCAAATTCTCTTTTATCATTTAAAAACTTTATTTATTTAGCCTTTTTCGTATAAACCATTTTTTGCCAGGCCTAATATTCAAGGCTGAGCATGGCTTCCCCTGAGAATAGGCACACTACTGCTCTACCGTGACGAGCTCCCGTGACTCCTTTGAAGGTTCTGTCTTCCCGCTCGAATTGCTTCTGAGGTTTTTGTCTCTGGCATTCTGCAATTTCACTATTATGCTTCTCAGTACATAATCTTTTAAAGCCTATAGACTAAATGACTGCCTGTGAGAGCTATCCTCCAAGATGGCATCCGATGATTCTCACCTCCTGGTATTCATGCCCTTGTGTCATCCCTTCTCACATTAAATAGGATCACCAGTGTATCCAAAAAGGATACTGTAGAAGTGTGACTTCCTAGGTTAAGTTATGGAAGTCATTGCGGCTTCCAGCTCACTCTCTCTCCAAGTGCTCTCTCTCTCTCCAAGCACTCACTCTGGGGGAAGCCAGCCACCGTACTGAGGATACTGAAGCTGTCCTATGGGGAGATGCACGTGGTGAGGAGCTGAGCCTCCTGCCAGCCCCTATCATGGACTCGCCAGTCACGTGAGTGAGCTGCCGTGGAAGCAGTCTGCAGCCTTCCTCAAACTTTGAGATGACTGAAGTGTTGGCTGCTATCTCAACTATAAGCTCCCGAGAGATCTCAAACCAAAGCCACAGCTAAGCAGCTCCCAAATTTCTAACCTACAGAAACTAAGATAAAAATAGTTACTGTTTTAAGTTGCTAAGCTCTGGGGAAATTTGTCATGCAGCAATGGATAACTAATACATGGCCAAAGGCTGGCTATGGTGGCTCATGCCTGCGATCCCAGCTCTTTGGAAGGCCAGGAGTTAGAGACCAGCCTAGGTAACATAGTGAGACCCTGTCTCTAATCTTTTTTAAAAAGTAAACTAGTAATACATTTCCAGAATCACCATATACATTTAAAATGAAATTTTCAAGATTCATGAAGTCTGTTTTTTTAAAAAACACTGAATTTTCAGAAGCCTGATACGTTTAAAATGTTAAATCTTGCTGGGCGCAAAGGCTCATGCCTGTAATCTTAACACTTTGGAACACATGGAAGATCACATGAGCCCAGTTCAAGACCAAACCAGGCAATATAGTAAGACTCCGTCTCTACAAAAAATTTTTAAAAATTAGCTAGGCATGGTGGCACGCCACTGTGGTCCCAGCTACTTGGGAGGCTGAGGTGGGAGGATAGCTTGAGTCCAGGAGGTCCAGGCTGTAGTGAGCTGATATTAGAGAAGCAGGAGTCTAGGAGAGCCAGGATAACGTCACTTTATGTTCAACTCCATCTTGAGACTAATAGAGCACATTCCTTGCAGGTCACAATCATGGCCCTAAGATGTTTACAGCTAAGGAAGCAGCTTGGTAATGCCTACAAGGACAAACTCCTATAAAAGGAAGTTTAGATGTCCCAATACCCACAATAATATATGCTTTCAAGATATAGTTATAGTTATGCTTTAATGTACTTGCACACTAAAATGTCAAATCCTTTTTAAATCAATAGAATAATAAATCGTTATGCTGTCAGCTCACCCACACCTAGGCACAGCTTAGTCTTTACATAGATAAAACCTCGATTAAAGAAAAACTTAAAGCAGGTCTGTTCCTCTGCTTGCTTGTTGAGGATGCCCTGCTCTGCAATGGAACGGCTTTCGATAAATAATCTCTTCTCACTGCACTCTGCAGCTCGCCTCAAATTCTTCTCCTGCATGAGATCCAAAAACCCTCTTGGGGTCTGGATGGAGACCCTTTTTCCAGTAACGCTGTGATCATGCCACTGTACTCCAGCCTGGTGACAGAGCAAGACCCTGTACACCTGTGAAATCTGCCCATCCAATATGATAAAAAATTTCCATGAGGAGCTCTACATGCTATTCAGTAACATTTTAAAGTGTTCTTCATAAAGGAATTGAAAAATAACAGGTTTATTTCTAAGAACTTCATGGCTCCTGTTGCTAAATTGAATGGTATCCTTTGTTTCCATTCCATTTTCTAGTTGTTTTTACTGTGTTGAAAAGTTGTGAATGGTGATCACATATCCAAACTCCCTCTTTTATCCATACTCATGTTTCTTAAATTGGATTTTCCAAGTAGGTAACATATTAGCTGCAAATAGTGATTTTCATCTTTTTAGATATTTATACAACATCTCATTTTCTTGATTTATTGTACAGGCTTCGATTTCCAGAATACCCTTTATTTACTTTTTTGAGACGGAGTCTCCCTCTGTCGTCCAGCTGGAGTGCAGTGGTGGAATCTCGGCTCACTGCAACCTCCAACTCCCGGGTTCAAGCAATTCTCCTGCCTCAGCCTCCCAAGTAGCTGGGATTACAGGCACCCACCACCATGCCCAGCTCATTTTTGTATTTTTAGTAGAGACAGGGTTTCACCACATTGGCCAGGATAGTCTCCAACTCCTGACCTCAGGTGATCCGTCCACCTTGGCCTCCCAAAGTGCTGGGATTACAGGCGTGAGCCACCGCACCTGGCGATTTTTTTTAACGTCACAGTGGTATCATGCATCCATCTGCTTGCAGCTAAAATACTTCCACTGGTCACTGCAAGCTCTTGAGAGCTCCTCTCCGTCAGGCTACAGAGATGTCCATCTCTTCCCACCTTATCCAGAACCTACAGGTTTCTATACTTCTTTTGTTCTTAAGGAAAGATACTGGAATTTATTAGCATTGCTTTTCAACAGCTATTGAGATAATCACATGATTTTCCACCGGTTGTTAATGAACTTTATTTATAGATTTCAAAATTTCTTTGTCCTTGGGTTACAATCTTCTTTTATTTACAATTTCATTTATTCCATATACATTCATTGAGCACCTACTATGTGTCAGGCACTGTCCTAAGCACTGGGACAGAGCTGAGAAGAGACACGTGCCTGCTCTCCTGGCAGGTGGAAGTGTGCAGGACCCATCCTTATGGCTATGAAACTCAGCATTTCACGTGCTGCTGGATTTGATCCAGTATTTACTCAGGATTTTTCAGTATATGCCCACAGGTAGACTGGCATATTGCCTTCTCTTTTTCCTTCTCTCTCTCTGCTCTCTTCTGGTACTGGTATTGGGTGATACCAGCTCCATACCAGAAGTGGCTCTGGGCAGGTGATGCTTCACCAATGAGGATGACTGATTTCTTGTTTGGGAGTGCCCACCTGTAAAGTCACCTGGGCACCCACATTTTTTAGGGAAGATTCCCTGTCCCCAAACTAAAAACCTGCCAGTCAGCAGAGATGCACCCATGCCCCTTTCCATCCTTGGCCAACAAACTCATTCTTCCACTGCTTGCCTGCCCTTGGAGGCCTTCAGCCCACTCTCCTGCCTCCCAGCCTTGTCCTCAACCACCATAACCCATAGCCACCAGTCCATCTCTTGGAACTACAAATACAGCCTGGCTGCCCCTGCCCAAGAGCCACCGGGTCCCTGTGTCCTTGCAGGATGTGGGTCCAATACACACTCCTCCTGCACCCACATCCCTACCCCTTCAGACACAGTGCCCTGTCCCCAGCCCTGTGCAGGACAGAAGCCTCACAGCCCCTGGACCTCCTCTTGAGCAGCCCTCACTAGACAGGTGACCTATGTGTGTTTATAGTCTGGACCGCCTGTCATGAGATGTTTGCCTCCCAGAAGCCACTGCGTCTGCTGGTTTGGTCACCCCACTCCCCAGCACTTGACACCGCCATAGGGGTCTTGAAGGCATTTGGGCCTGAAGGACATGACTGAGAGGGTACAAAGGGACCTCAGTGGGCAGCCCTAGGAACACACGCAGACACGCCTGTGTGCATGGCTCAATGAGCTCCCCACACTGAACTGGCCGCATGACCAGCGCCAGCTGCCAAAGTATTGCCAGTGCCCAGGAGCCCCTGCACCCATCTTGCCACAGCCTAGAGCCATCTCTGAGCCTGGCTTTGAACCTTCCAAAAGTGGAACCACACAAGTGGGGTTCTGGCTTCCTGTGCCCTCAGAGAACATCCTGGGGCTCAACAGCTACATTCTATCAATCTCACTACTGGGCCTGGCACAAGCCTGCAGCTCACTGTCCAGCAACAGAAAGACCAGGAGATGCTTCTAGTTTGAGGAGTCACAAGCAGAGCCTCTCCCAACATTTTGTTTTTGTCAAATCCTCCTGACAGCTGACCCACCTGGTTGGGAGGACGCCACCCCTGCTGGGGACCTTGCTTTCCCTCCCGCTTCTTGCCACCTTCAGCCTGGGGTGGGGGACACTGGGCAGGGCTGAGGGAAGTGTGTTGCCTTGGCTTCTTCCTGGCCTTAGAAGACCTCTCTACAGAGCCCAGCAGAGGCCAGTGGCCCACGGTTCTGGAGGCAAGAGGGATGCAGGTCCACCCTGGTGCTCGTCCAGGGCCATGGGGGAAGACAGCCTCCTGAGTTCAACCGTCTGTTTCTCATCAGTCCCCACTCAGCCCTCCCCTAAGGCTGCCCATCACGGCCAGCCTGGAGTTTCCAGGGAGAGCGGCCTCAGGTGGGCTGGGGACAGGAGGGTGGCCTTGGCCAGGGTTTCCTGCTTACCCAGTCCTGAGTCTGCAGTCCCTGCTGAGCGCTGCTTTGGGTACTGGGCTGGCCCCAGGATGCTGTCGGGCCCAGTGGGGGTCGCCTGTGCTCTTGGGAGAGGTGTGACTCCAGCTTCTTCCCCTGAGGGGACAGCTTCCTGCTGTCCATCTCTAGCCCTAGTAGGCTGCTTGTCCACACCTCTGAGATCTGGGGGAACGAGCAGCATGAGGTGGGGTGGAGCCCAAGGCCACCCGTGTGCCCACCAATACCTGAGTCCCTGGGGGCAGATGGTGGCAGTGTCAGGGTCTGCTAGGGTCACCTTCCAGTCAATGGTCAGGCATCACCGACCCCTCTGCGGGGAGTGGATCCCCTCAGCTCCCGCCGCAGCTCTTCACACCAGCCTCCCAAACTGTCCCCTGCCGACTCCACCCCGGGAGCGCGGTCACCCTTCGGCAGCCTCCCGCACGGACGCCACGCCTCTGCCAGCCCCTCAAACGGTTCCAGGGGCATCAGTCCTCAGCCAGCACTGCGGGCACGCTCTCAAGGAAAGGCCCAGAGCTGTTGCCACCGCCCTGCTCCCGACCCTGAGACCTCCCCTCTACACGGCCCAGGCCTCACCCCAGGCCCAGCCCCGAGCCCTTACGTGCCCGCCCTCTCCGAGGGGGTGGGTCTGCGCGGCCGAGGTCTGCGGAGAGACGGGGGAGGAGGGCTCAGGAGGACACAAGCTGGAGGCCGGGGGCACTCTGGGGTTCGGCGGGGGGCGGGGCACACGGGAACGGCGGTCAGAGGTCGGGGGTACGCGGGCGTCCGAAGATAGAGGGAGGAGCAGGCCCGCCGCAGATGGAGGGACCACAGGGGAACCGGTGAGGTCCACCTCAGGTGGAGAAGGCCCAAGGGGCCGGCACCTCTCCCGGAACTTCCGCTACGACCGGCCCCGCCCCCGCCGGTTCCGCTTCCGTTCTGCGCTGCGCCTGCGTTCTGGTCTCAGTTGCGGCGGGTGGGAGCGGCCTCGGGGTCCCCGGCGCATAAGCGGGTCTATCGCAGCTACCGCCCCGCGGGCTCTTCCGGGCGTCGGCCTCCGGGATCTCCCGAAGCACAGACCTGAACTTGGGGTTTGTCGGCCCGAGCCCCTTTCGGACCTGCGTCCTTCCCGCGGCGCGATACCGCTTCGCCCCGGGCCACTTCCGCGCGCGGGGCCGCAGGGCTGTGGCAGGGCGGACCCAGGACAGGGTGCGTGGGCGGGAGGGAGGCGCTGCTCCGCCGCGTGCCCCCAAGGGGTGGACGGCCGAGAGAATCACACTGCAGGCGGGGCCGGCCCCTCCAGGTTTATTAGTGTTGCATCAGCACCTTAAAATAGTCCACACGGTCACGTACGTGACATTAGAATCCGTTCCCCAAAAAGCTATTTACATTAATCCCGGGTTTCATTAAAAAAAAGAAAAACTAGCAACACATACATCCTAGAAACCAAACAATGCACAATGAACCGCATGGGGGTCTGCAGAAACTACAGTGGTGCCTCTTTGGCCCGCAGGGTCAGACTCCAGAGGTGCCCAGCAAGCCCAGCTCTCAGTCCCCTGCAGGCCGCACACCCGCGGACGACAGGACAGGTCTCGGGGAGAGGGCGGCTCAGGAACAGGAGTGGGTCTGGCAGCCTGGCCCTCGGAAGAAGCGGCCTGGTCATTTTCATGAGGAATTTATTCCCGGAGGAAGGCGAGAGGCACTCAGGTCTTTCCATCTGGGAATGAGGACGGTGTGGCAAGGCTGCCAGTCCCCTGCAGAGACACCCCCAGCTCCCATCCAGGGGCCCTCTCCTGCCCCAGCTCTGGCCGAGGCACTGAACCAGGACACTGGCCTGCGTGCTCAGAGAGTGGCCAAGGGGACCAACATGGAAGAGGAAGGCAGCAGGCCAGACTGCAGGGCGGGACTGGCCCACAACTGGTCTGGGCAAGGGTGGGGTCTGTCTACGTAATAGTGGACAGTGGCCACAGGCCTGAGGGGCGCCTCTGTGGTGACTGATTAACCTTTGAGACTGATGGGGCTGAGCCTAGCTCTGCAAGGGGTGGCCTCCTGTCCTGCTGTCCTGTGAGGCCAGTCCACGGCCAAGGTCTGGGGGGTGTGCACACCTCACACACACACCCCGCCCTTACCGCACTGGCTGTCGGATGGCTTTGGTTTCTAGTTGTCCTTGGTGGGACAGAGTGCTCCTCCATGCACCCTCAGAACAGCTCTGTGAGGTAGGCAGGGGAAACGCGACCATCCTGTGTAACCAGTGGGAAAACCGAGGCACAGAGGGCTGGCACAGCCCAGGTCTTGTCTGCCCAACCTCTCTGGTCCTGGGCATGGTGGGGGGGATGGGCTGTGGGGCTCTTGGGTGCAGGGCAGACCCACAGGCCAGCAGCAGGCACAGGGAGTGCCACCAGAACCCCCACCTGCTGGATGGAGACTCTGCCCATGCTCTCCCCTTTCGTGGGTTAAGGATGGAGCTGTGGAGCCAGGCGGGGAGGTTGTAGGGTAGGGAGGAGGGCTCCAGGAAAGGGGCTGCCCACAGCCATGTTGCACTAGGCAGCCTCTGGCCCCTTCCTCTGAAACCTACTCCGAGGCCAGAAAGCCACAGCAAGGATGTTTCCGCCTTCATCTCCCTACTGAGTGTGACCTTTGGGAAAGAAACTGCAAAAGCAGGCAGGATGTGGTGACTCATGCCTGTAATTCCAGCACTTTCGGAGGCCGAGGTGGGCGGATCACTTGAGGTCAGGAGTTCGAGACCATCCTGGCCAACATGGCAAAACCCCGTCTCTACTAAAAATACAAAAAATTAGCCGGGCATGGTGGTGGGCGCCTGTAATCCCAGCTACTCAGGAGGCTGAGGCAGGAGAATTGCTTGAACCCAGGAGGTGGAGGTCATGAGTGAGCTGAGATCATGCCACTGCACTCCAGCCTGGGCAATAGAGCAAGACCCCGTCTCAAAAAAAAAAAAAAAAAAAGAAAGAAACTGGAAAAGCAGAAAAACAGATGCTCTGCAGCCCAGTGCGGGGGCGGCTGGAACGAGATGGTCAGGGTCCCACCTGTTTGAGTGTTGCCGGGGTCAGAGGCCATCAGCCGAGGGCCCACACCCTCACCCTAGACCCCTCTTAGGGCAAAGCCTGAAGCCAGGATTCAATGGGAGGCCTTCCTACCCCTCCCCGACCCTGGGGTGTGCCCCAGGGTCCTGGTCCCAGGTGAACCTGGAGGCCCTGGTGTGGAGGGGCTCTGGTTGGGAGGGGCTGGGGCTCTGCTGCAGCCCTGCACACAGGCTACCTCTGAGGCCTGAACCCCGGGGCCTGAGGCTGCACCCCAGGTCACATCCTGGCCCCTCGCCACAACAAAAGCACCCTGTTCAGCCACCTGGGGGGGTGGCCAGGAAGAGCAGGGGGTCACAAATAAGAAATATGGGCCATCTCTCAGGCCAGCAAGGGTAGAGATCCCTCCAGCCCAGGCTCGAGGCCCACCCTGCCCTGCGTTTACCAGCTTTCTGAGCATAGCCTTGTGCAGTGCTCCATCTTACGAAACCAGGCCAAGAGCCCCCAGTGGCGACTAGGGTCCCTGGGAAGGCCCCAGCTTCCCCAGCTCCTATGGAGACCCCAGAGTGCAGGCTTGCTGGGGAGAAGCAAGACTGATGGGGCAGGTGTTGAGGTCAGGGAGGCCCCTCTCCTGCTGTGTGGAGGACATGGAACCCACACACAACACGGGACCCAGCGCTCTCTGAGGGCTGTGGCCTGGAGAGCCTCCCAGGCCCTGCACAGGGTACCTGGCTGCAGCCACGACTCCAGAGTGCCAGCCCCTCTGGTCAGACCATCCTGTTGGAATCTTCATAGGCCACAGTGTTGCAGCAAGTGACACAAACACACCTGGACGCCTGCCCCACATTCACCAAAACCTGAATCTCAACCCAAATACCCACATGGCTGGCCTCAGATATACCCACTGGGGTAGAGTGGGAGGAAGCGGCCCCCACCTCAGGCCAACACCAGCAGCATCTCACTGTGTAAGAAGCTGGGCTCTGGAACATTTTCTGGGGCCGCCTGGGGCTGTGAGGGGCTTAGCAAGCCCCTGTGCTTGCTAAGTTTGGGACAGGGACTACACACGGAAACCTCACGGTGTTTCAAGAACAGCCTAAGAGTGGGGAAGGTGTGAGGCGGGGTGGGGCAGGGGCTGCTGGCTCTGCCCAGCCCCAGGGGGACTTCAGAAGACCAACATGTTTGGCAGCTACATTAGAACATGTATTTAAAAGCATTAAAAATATCTGCTGCTATAAAACCTCCGCCGCAGGCAGGAGTTTATTGGGAACCACGAGTGTGCGGTGCTGGGGGCATCTCTCAGGCGGGCAGGACGGCCCCCCAGGCTTAACTCAGGACACCCCCAACGGGACTGAGCGGCCCCATGGCCCCTCGGCCTGAGGCCACTGAGCTCCGCCTGCCCCAGGCTCCCTGAGGAAGCAGAGTCCTGACTTTCCGGAAGAACAGGACACGGAGGCTCTGGGTGGCTCCTGAGACCAGAGCACGCCTTCTGCGATCCGCAGCTCAGCACCGTCCTTCTGGCCTCCCAGCCCCGGGCCGAACGTTGGGGTTAATAAGCAGAGCAGTTATTCGGCTCCTGGCAGGAGCTCCCCCGTTAGTTTCCAGGTTGTGAGCACATTCATACTTAAGACTGTTTCTCTTTGTGTTTTAAGGGTCTGTCTCTGTAGTAAACTGAAATGTTAACAGAAATGCAGCTGGGCCCCTCCTAGCGTGGGGCGGGAGGTGGGCCTCTCGGTGGGTGGGGCTAGAAGGTGGCCTTGGAGTGTCCGAAGATGCAGATGGGGAAGTGCTTCACGTGCGAGGACCACTGCGCGGCCAGCTGGAAGAACTTGACGTCGCTGCACTCCACCCCGTCGATGAGGACTGTGGGAGAGGGCTGCCTGACCGCCTGCCCACCTGCCCACCCTGTCCACCTGCCTGCCTGGCCCACCAGGCTGGGTAGCAGCCAGGGGTACAGGATGAGAAGGAGCCCCATGCTGGAGGGCACCAACACTTTCCTCAGGGACTCGGGGGCTCCAGGGTCACGCTGGCTCCTGAGGGACGCCGTTCCTGCCCCTGCCCTTCCACACCTCAGAGCCCTGGGGGGTGAGGAGGGCAGTACTTCCCCCAGGGCTGCCTGCAGGTGGGAGGAACAGACCCCACCGCCTCCTGCCAGGCGCTGCTTGTCCACATCCATCTCCACCTGCACAGGTGGGGAGAAGACACTGGGAGCCCCCTTAAAACAGAGACCCCTGTCGGGAGACAGGGCCATGCTGACCTGGAGGTCATCTGACCCGTGCTCAAAAAGAGGAAGGCCTCCTAGAGCTGTTTCTGAAACAGGTACTTGCAGAGTAACTCCAAAATGCTTTTAAATTACAAGTCACTATTTTTAGGCTGGGTGTGGTGGCTCACACCTGTAATCCCAGCACTTTGGGAGGCAGAGGCAGGCGGATCACCTGAGGTCAGGAGTTCAAGACCTGCCTGGCCAACACGGTGAAACCTCATCTCTACTAAAAATACAAAAAATTAGTCGGGTGCAGTGGCGTGCACCTGTACTCCCAGCTATTTGGGGGGCTCAGGCAGGAGAATTGCTTGAACCTAGGAGGCGGAGAGTGCAGTGAGCCAAGATTGCACCATTGCACTCCAGCCTGGGTAACGAGCAAAACTCCGTCTCAAAAAAAAAAAAAACCAAAAAAAAAGTCATTATTTTTAAAAAGCAAAAAGGGTTGAAAAATTCTTTCTCAGCATTTGGAAAGCTGTCATCTTCACCGAGGGCTTCACGGAATGTGCGTGTCACAGCAAGACGCCGCAGCTCCTATGGTGGACTCCAAAGCAGCCCTGCTATGCTCTCGCCTACGTCCCACTTTACAGACCCCAGGGCCCGTGGCGCTCACCCCGCAGCATGTTCTGCTGCTGCCTGGCAGTGCAGATGAGCCGGCTGATGCCCTCGATGCACTGGCTCTTGGACTCCACATCTTTGTCCTTCGCTTTCTTGGGCAGAAACATCACTGGAAGGAGAAAAGAGGCCCTGCTGTCATATTGCTGCTCCTTCAGGGCCAGGGCTGGGGGTACGTGTGGGGGAGGCACTGGGGGCTCAGCTGGTCACGGCCCCACTCACCTAGGAAACCTGCCTTCCACGGTGACCGAGGAGTTGCTCTCCTGCCCGCCCAGCTGGCCTCTGCCTGAGGCCCTGGTCAGAAGCGCCTGACCCTCATTGCCTTCAGGGTTTAGGCTCCCTCACCCCACCCGCCCCTGCCTGCGCACGTGGGCTGCCCGAGGCCAGCCAGGAGGCTGCCATCCCTGTTGACTGCGAGCTGCCCGCTCCCGCCGAGCCGCCCTTCTGTGCCATGTGGCCGTATAGCCTGTCCCACCTCACCCTTCTTGTTCTTCTCCTTGGTGACCACGGTCATGGACATGGTGGGCGTGGCCGCAGCCTCGCCGCTGCTGGGCAGCCTGCTGACCTGGAGGGACCGGAAAGTGCACTTGAGCGTGTTTTTGGTGACAGGCAGGTCCTTCTTCTCGGCGTCCCTCTTCCTGTCCGCGGGCTGTGCTGCTGTCCAGTAGTCCACCTGCAGCCCCATCAGCTCGGCGCCGACACCCTGGCTGGGAAAGGCAGAGGGAGGTGCTCACACCTGCATCCTTCGGCCTAGTGATGGGGACATCACTGTCCCTGACAGGCCAGGAGGTGACAGCCAGCACCTGTGCCAACTTGCCAGCAGAGGAGGGTGCTTGGAGCATGCTCTGTGGAGCTGTTCACATGCCCAGTCACCCCCAGAAGGGTCCTGCATAAATCACAGGGAGCCATCCTGTGTAGATTACAGGGAGCCTGGCAACAGGAGAGCCCCGGCCTGGGGGGCCCGTCCACCCACTCTCCTGGCGGCAGGAGAGCCCCGGACTGGGGGGCCTGTCCACCCACTCTCCAAGCTGTCCCTTGGAGTCTTGAGGGCCTATGTGAACCAGCTCCCTCAGGCGCAGCCTGGAAGGAGCCAGCGGTTGGAAACACAGAGGCAGGGCGTCGGGGTCTGCTGGTGTGAGCCCTGCATGCAGCACTAGCACCATGCCTGGCCTTGGGGCCTACACCCTCTATGGCTTAGTTACACTTGAGTAAGGTCTGCTTCAGAGAGACCCACGCGGGCTGGTGGGGCCTCAGCACAGCTGTCAAAGCCGACCCCATGAGGACCGCCTAGAGACTCTCGTCTCTTGCGCCTTCTGCCCTCAGCTTGTTTTTAAAAGCCCCAATGTGTGCAGAGCTGAGAGACAGCCCAGCACAACGCCCATGTTTATTCACTGTGTGGGAGTTTCTGTCCCCTAGAGGTCCTGCCCCCAACCCCTGATCTGTGGCAGGAGGTGGCCAGAGAGGCCCCAGCCGTCCTGCAGAGCCCCTCCATCTGCGTGGCCGACAGGCCAGGTGCCCTGGGAGGTGGATGTGACATGGGGGAGGATGACTGAATCAGGCAGCACGTGGGGGGGCGGGCAAGTGAAACGTGCTGAGCTGCGCGGTGCCTTTACCTGGGGGAGGACAGGCCTCCGCTCACCGACGGGGAGGAGGGCGGGGTGGGTGAGGCCTCCTTGGCCGCAGGAGATGTGGACGGCGGGGTGGAGGAGAGCGCGCCAGAGCCTGAGGGGGCTGCATCGTCCGAGTCGCCTTTGGGGAGGAGTCATAGGGCAGGCTGAGCCCACCTGTTGCTCTGCCCAGGTGGCACCAGGCCCTCTGGAGCAGGATGTGGCCAGAAGGCCAGGCAGACCCTAGGGGTGGGCAGGGCGGGAGTCCCCAGTGGCCTGTGTGAGACGGGAGGGTCTCAGATTCTCCTCCGTTTTTGGAAGACGGCCCTGCCAGCCTTGATGTGGGGCTTCATGACAGCAGTCCCCGGAGGATGAACCCCCCACAGAGCAGAAGCACCACAGCAAGACTGGAACGCGGCAGCTCTCAGGCCCTGAAGGGTTGGTCTGGTCTGCAGGACCAGAGTGACTGTGCTCCCGCGGCCCACCCACGGGCCATTCACAAGGCCTCAGGGTGGGATGGTGTTACCTGATGTGGCGGAGGATGGCTCCACAATTCCAACCTTCACAACCTAGAAAACAACAGGCACTGGCTGGTGAAAGCCGTGGGGTTCAGCTAGCCCACTGCCTTCCCAGCGGGGCTCCTGCCTCCCCACCATGGCCACCACTCCCATGATGCAGGAGCAGCCACGTGGGGACAGAGAGTGCTCAGGGTGCGTGGCCTCAGCAGGAGGGACTGCTCTCTCCCAAAGGCGGCCCTCAGGGCAGCTGCAAACCACGTGTCCAGTAAGACCAGTATGCTGGTGAAAGGGACCCTGGCAGACCAATGGGGATAGGCCCCGGGCCTGCCAGGCCCTGCATAGCAGCCATGAGCCACAGGTGGTTGTGTAGATTTACCATGAATCCCAGTGACTCAGTGGGATTGCATGGGAAGGCCTGTGTGCCCGAGCATGGCATACTCTTGTTACCAGAGAAAGCTCCTTGGGCAGCCGCTGTTCAAGATGAACTCCACCCTCCTAGAGGGCCAGCCATCACCCTAGAGCCCTCAGCAGACCCAACCACTGCATGATGCACGGAAAGGCCTCTGTCCCACCAGTGGGGAAACTGAGCCCAGAGACCCTTCCCCTGCCCGGGCAACCCGTCTGCCAGGTCCTATGGGTCTGTCTCATGGCAGACACCTGGTGGGAAGGAGGCCACACAACAGGATGAAAAGATGGGCAGGGAATAGGCTGTGGAGACCCAGGGCTGGCAGGGAGATGGCCTGGCTGGCAGAAGCAGCCCTAACCCTGGGCAGGGCAGGAACTGAAACCCACGCACTGCAGGCCACAGACCCAGAGTGCACACTGGGAAGCTCCCGGGGCCTTGGCTTCC